ATGGCTTCCTGGGGGAGGAACGTCCCAGCAGAGGGAACGGCCAGTGCACGAGATGAGACGGCCCTGCACGTCCGATTGCACGTCCCGAGACGACCCGGAGTCCCGGACGGTCTGGAGCAGAGCTGGGGTGGAGGCAGCGGGTCATGGCCCCAGAGCCTTTCCGAGCCGGGAGGGACAGGGACTGGGGACAGTTACTAACCTGTGGTCCCCGCCAGCAGGATGCGGAGCTCGGCTGGAGAAACACCTTCTTGCTCTCGGCGGCTATTAGCGTGGCGGGGCTGCTCGCTTACCTCGTCCTCGGCCGAGCCGAGGTCCAGGACTGGGCCCGCGACGAGACGCCGACGCGCCTCTGACTGAGCCGACGGTGCCCCGCACCCCGCCGCCCGGCCGCTCCGGCCCCTGGTGCTCAGCCCCGCGGACGCCCCCGCTTCGTGCTCGCTTGACGGACTGGCCCCTCCATCCGAACTGGCTTTGTCGCCAGCATCTGCCCAGAGCCCTGGGCTGCGGAATTCTGGAGGCGCCACCTGGAGACTTTACGGGGAGGGGAGGCCCCTTCTTTAACGAGAAGCCCCTGGGAGCTCAGGCGTGTCTGAACGTCCTCGCTCGCCCAGCACGTGGTTGGCCCCTGACCCCCAGTTTCTGGCACAGAGCTCCTGAGACCCTCGTCATTTCCTGAGCGATGGTGAGAGAGAAGCATCTTTCTTTACGACACTCGGTCTTAGTGCCTGATCCCTGACATAAGAGCTCCTGAGAGCCTTGGAACCCCCAGAGTGGACGGGCGGCTGGGGCCCCAGGGCGCTTCAGGGTGCGGGCTGGATGCCAGAGAGGCCAAGGCATGTTAGGGGTTTGGGACTTTCGGCCCCGCTGCCCCACCTTCTGGGAGGGAGAAGGGCTGGAAGCTGAGCTCTTCATCGGTGGCCAACGATTCAGTCGGTCAAGGCAATGCAATAAAACTTCAATTTACAAAACCCCTAAGTGACGGGGTTTGGGGAGCCCCCGGGTTGTGGCCATGTGGCGGTGTGGGGAGAGCGACCCCCGAAGGCAGGGACGCCCCACGTCTCCCCCCACGCACCTCGCCGTGGGCAGACTACTCCCGATACATTTTTATAGAGAAATAAAACTCTATAATTTTCAACGCCAAAAATACCCGTACGGACCTTGTGAAACTGAGCCTCGTCTTCCGGTCACTTCGTCCGCACAGCGTGGTCACTATAGTATTGGCACCGTGTCGCCGGTTTGAAAGCGGCTGAGAGAGGAGATCTTGAACATTCTCCTCGCAAGACATTTTTTGTAGCTATGTTTAAGATGATGACTTTGACTAGACTGATCGTGATTATTTCACCGTGTACACAAAGATATCGCACACCGGAAACTACTGTCATATGTGAATTACACCTCAATGAAAGGGTTGAGGAGGAAGGGTGCAGTTCGTAATCTGACGAGCACAAACGTCGTTGCAGGACCCTGAAGGAGACATGTGTGGTGGTGGGGGGGGATCTGCCACCATTAGATTGGCAGTACCCCCAAAACTGAGGTGGCTCCGACACGGGCTCTGTCAGCTCCCCAGCTGATTTCTACGCAGAAGCTGACACGCCGGTCGACGCTCCGTGCAGAACCGTGAAGCACCCAGGACGGCCCAGAGTCTCGAGAAAAGGACCGAGCTGGAGGACTCACTTTTCCCGAGGACTCGCGCTGAGAGCTTTCTACAAAGCGGCGACGATCCAGGCGGAGTGTCGCCGACCCCAGGTTAGACGTGTAGACCAGCGGGGCAGAATCAAGAGTCTAGAAATAAGCCAGCGTGTCTATGGTCCGATTTTTGACAAGGATACGAGGCCCTTCGAGGGGCGGAAAGAACAGTCTTTTTTAAACAAATGGTGCTGAGAAAACCGGATCGTCGATGCTAAAGAATAAACTTGGACCTTTAGCTCACCCCACGTCCAAGAATTAGAACTAGAACGGACCCCGCGCCGTCGGGTTGAAATGGAGGTACAGGCGGGAGTCGTGGTGTCAGTGGAAAGGCGGGTCGAGAGGTGAGCGATCGGGAGGTGACGCGTGCATAGACACAGAGTCTCTGATTTTGTCTCCCCGAAGGGCCTGGGAGCGGGGGCCGGCAGCAGGCGCGAACACCCTGAGCGTTGACGTTCTGGCTTCTAAGTATTTTTCTCAAACAGTAAGAGGAACCAGGGAAAATACAAGATGTGCTCAGCACGTCAGGAAACGCTCAAAGAAACACAAAGAACCTCTCGCTGGCCAGATCTGAGACCCGTCGAGCAACAAAGCAAGTAACATAAACCAATAAATAAAATACGAAGCCAAGAATCCGCCCGGAAATAAAGAAGGGAACGAACAAACGAGGCGTGACCTGGCGCAGCCGCAGCCCCAGAGGACCTTCCCTCATTCCAGCGGGAAAAGGAGAAACTGTGCTGAGGAAAAAGTCGACAGACACCCCTGATTTAATCTTTTATCTTGAAAACGGGTCAGTTCATTCAAACGGTTGTGCCTCATTTCGGAAGGCGGGTGAAGCGGGTGAGCCCCCAAACGTGGGCCTCAAGGCCCAAGCAATCAGCTGTGTAGGAAGAGGCAGCCCTACAGGAAAACTAAGGTTTGTAACTGCAGCAGACACATTTATAGCCGTTTCTGAGCCTAGGAGCTTTCTAGACGTTGGACTCGAAGCACCTTTTGCAGTTTGAAACGTCTCTGACGATGTCGCCGGGTTCTGGGTGGCCCAGACAACAGCGGTCACAGCGATTTAAGTGAGTTGTCGTCGTGATGTCTCTGGAGTTTGTATGGCGTCGTCTAGCTTTAATTTGCAAGGGCGTCAGAAACAAGGGCGTTTTCAGTCCTCAGCGATTCCAAATCAAAAGGATGAGAGAAAATGGAAAACGTTA